GAAGAACAGGGCAGCAAGGAGAAACCACCGGAGGTAACATGGGAAATAGATGGTGATGGGCGTACTAATTTCAAACTTTCAGCTGAATTCAAGAAGAAGGCGTGGCGACCGTGGCAGAAAGCACTCTATGTCAAGCTATTAGGTAAGAAACTCTCTTTGACTTTCATGAAAAAAAGATTGGAAAACATGTGGGCACAGGAGGGGCAAGTTTTTATCACTGATGTTGAAAATGGATATGTCCTTGTTCGGTTCTCAAATCAAAAGGATTTGGATCATGAATTAACAGCTGGACCCTGGGTAATATTAGATCATTATCTGGCAATTAGATATTGGAAGCCAGATTTTAACCCTTTCCAAGCAGCTATAGCTCGAATTACAGCTTGGGTGAGGCTTCCGGGGTTCCCAATTGAATATGCTAATACAAAGTTGATTAAGGGGATCGTCAATTGGTTGGGAAAATTTATCAAAGTGGATGCTGCTACAACTTCCTTGTCTAGAGGACGTTTTGCTCGTATTTGCGTTGAATTAGATCTTACCAAGCCACTGAGTGCTGAGTATAAACTGGAGGGGAGAATTAAGCAAGTGGAATATGAGGGTTTACATTTGGTGTGCTATTCTTGCGGCCAATATGATCATAGATCAGAAATGTGCCCCAATAAGAGCCATACTGTAAATGCTGAACCATCTCAAGACCAGATTAGTAAGGATCAAGAAGAAGGAGTTGATACAACTATGATCCCTAGCTTCTCAAGTGAAGATATAGATAAGGATAATTCGAATGGTCCTTGGATGTTAGTTAATAGACAACAGAGATCCAACCGGACTAGTGATTCTGGCTACAAAGGGAAGAGAGAAAACCAAGCTGGCCAACATTTGAGGAGACATTCGTCCAAATTTCAGGCTTTGGCAGATGATTCTAATGAGGCTGAGGATGGTAAAGAAGAGAAGTTGGGGGTGGAAAATAATGAGGAAGAGCATGTAGCAGACAATAATCCAAAGAATAAGCAGGAGAGAAAAAAGGAGACTAAAAATGCTGCCCATGTAATTGAAACCAGTACCAAGTTTAAATTGGTAGGTGGAGGTAATGAGGAGATTACTGCAGAGAAGACCTTTGTGGACAAAATAACAACTGATGAGAGAAAAGAAAGACAAGCTTCTAAGAAGCAAACACCTGCATATTTGGGGCAAGTTGAGAATGGTATGAGGCAAAAAAGCATTCAGTTAGGAAATGCAGAATCCAAGACCAGTGAGATCCCTTCAATCCAAATCATTTATCCTACTAATCTGAACCAGAATAATAACTCTCAAAATATGGGTATTCAACATGCACCAAGGCCACCGGATCAAAATGGAAATGAAATGGATCATGATATTACTAGCTCAGAAGTGCAGAATAGAGAAGACTTGGGTGGAAAGACTTCACCAATGGAATTGGAGATACAGGTACTCCATAACCCTGTAAAAACTGTTTAGTTTTTTATGTTTATGCTTTTCTGGAATGTGAGAGGGGCTGTTGGGAGATAGTTTGGGCGTGTGTTGAAGAATACAGTTAGGAGTATTCAGATTTGCATGATTGTTCTTTTAGAAACTATAGTTAACAGCTCTACTGGTTCAAAAATTATGAATACGTGTGGCTTTAATAGTTGTTTTGTGGAAGAAGCTCAGGGGTTCTCTGGTGGTATTTGGATCATGTGGGATTCAAATAAAATTAATGTGGAGCCTCTTTCCCATTCTGATCAGATGATTCACTCAAGAATTACTCTTAAAAGTGGGGACGGCTTTCTTTGTACAGCAATATATGCTAGCCCGAGGGAGGTAAGAAGATCTGTTTTGTGGGATGAATTGAAGAGACTGGGGAGTAATATGAATGAGCCTTGGCTAGTTGGTGGGGATTTTAATGAGATTGTGGCTGCTACAGAAAAGAAAGGGGGATCTCCTCCAAATTATGCAAAATGCCAAGCCTTCAAAGACATTCTTGATGAGTGTCAATTAGAGGATTTGGGATTCACAGGATCTAAATTCAGTTGGCAAGGTCCAAAGTGGCTCAATTGAACAGAGTTTATAAGATACTGGATAGGATTATCACTAATATTCAGTGGAGGCTCAAGTTTGATGATGCAAAAGTTTTTCATCTACCTAGGGTCCTTTCTGATCACAATCCTTTGCTTTTAAATCTGGTTGCCAGAAAAGATACCAAGTGCAAAAAGCCTTTTCGGTTTCAAGTAGCTTGGCATCTACATCATGCTTTTCCTAGTTTTCTAAATGATAATTGGGATCAAGAGTTTGATATTCCATACATGCTTCAAAGATTAATACCTGCTCTTCGAAAGTGGAATAATAGGGTGTTTGGTGATATTCATAGGAGAAAGGAGAGATTATTGAAAAACCTGGAAAATATTCAGCATCAAAGGACTGGGAATGATAATGATAGGCTGAAGAATATGGAGGAGCAGTGTCAAGAAAGATTAAATAAAGTTATGGAGTAAGAAGAGCTGCGGTGGTTTCAGAAGTCTAGGCAACAATGGATTGTTGATGGTAATAGAAACACTAAATTCTATCACCTAAATACAATCATCCGCAGAAATTCCAATAGAGTTGTGAGACTAAAAGATGATTGTAATAAGTGGATTACTGATCCAGATGAACTTAAAATGCATGCCTGTAAGTTCTTCAAAAATCTATATTCTGAGGATGTTCATCATAGAAGGTGGCTCTCTTCTCATAATTTATGGCCTTCTTTATCAGAGGAGGACAAGATCATGTTAAGTATAAATTCGTCAGAAGTTGAAATCAAAAGGGCTCTTTTTCATATGGATTCTTATAAAGCTCTAGGAGTGGATGGTTTCCCAGCTGCTTTTTTCCAAGTTAACTGGGATAAGCTGAAGACTCAGTTAGTTCAACACATTCACAGTATATGGGAGAATCCGGATTTAGTGGCCACTATTAATTCCACTCTGATTGTCCTTATTCCTAAGGAAAATAATCCTTCCCAAATGTCTCAATTTCGGCCAATATATTTATGTCCAGTTATTTATAAAGTCTTGAGTAAGATTGTGGTGCAAAGGATGTTTGGTTTAATGGATAAAATCATATCCCCTGTTCAGGCAAGTTTTGTTCCGGGGAGGCATATTCAAGATAATATAATTATAGTTCAGGAGTTGATTCACTCAATGCATAGAATGAAAGGTCGGAAGACCTTCATGGCTATCAAGGTGGATCTAGAAAAAGCTTATGACAGATTGAATTGGGATTTTATTCAAAAGACTCTTTAGGAAGTGCAATTCCCAGATAAGTTAGTTAGGATTATTATGGCTGCAATCTCTACTACAAGTTTCAATGTCCTCTGGAATGGAGGGATGTCTAAGGAATTTCAGCCTTCTAGAGGGGTCCGGCAAGGTGATCCTCTCTCCCCGTATGTTTTTGTTATTGCAATGGATTGGATGATTGTAATAAGTGGATTACTGATCCAGATGAACTTAAAATGCATGCCTGTAAGTTCTTCCAAAATCTATATTCTGAGGATGTTCATCATAGAAGGTGGCTCTCTTCTCATAATTTATGGCCTTCTTTATCAGAGGAGGACAAGATCATGTTAAGTATAAATTCGTCAGAAGTTGAAATCAAAAGGGCTCTTTTTCATATGGATTCTTATAAAGCTCTAGGAGTGGATGGTTTCCCAGCTGCTTTTTTCCAAGTTAACTGGGATAAGCTGAAGACCCAGTTAGTTCAACACATTCACAGTATATGGGAGAATCCGGATTTAGTGGCCACTATTAATTCCACTCTGATTGTCCTTATTCCTAAGGAAAATAATCCTTCCCAAATGTCTCAATTTCGGCCAATATATTTATGTCCAGTTATTTATAAAGTCTTGAGTAAGATTGTGGTGCAAAGGATGTTTGGTTTAATGGATAAAATCATATCCCCTGTTCAGGCAAGTTTTGTTCCGGGGAGGCATATTCAAGATAATATAATTATAGTTCAGGAGTTGATTCACTCAATGCATAGAATGAAAGGTCGGAAGACCTTCATGGCTATCAAGGTGGATCTAGAAAAAGCTTATGACAGATTGAATTGGGATTTTATTCAAAAGACTCTTTAGGAAGTGCAATTCCCAGATAAGTTAGTTAGGATTATTATGGCTGCAATCTCTACTACAAGTTTCAATGTCCTCTGGAATGGAGGGATGTCTAAGGAATTTCAGCCTTCTAGAGGGGTCCGGCAAGGTGATCCTCTCTCCCCGTATGTTTTTGTTATTGCAATGGAAAAACTCAGTCATATTATCAACACTGCAGTTCAGGGTAATCTCTGGAAGCCAATCCATGCTGGAAAGGGTGGACCTGCTATTTCCCACTTGATGTTTGCCGATGACTTAATGCTTTTTGCTGAAGCCTCTTTGGATCAAATCCAAATTATTCTTAAGTGTTTGCAGCTGTTTGGTGATATCTCGGGAGAATGAGTCAATAAACAAAAGACTAGTATCTTCTTTTCCAAAAATACTCCAGATGATGTAGCTACTGAGATCTCCAATGTTTGTGGTTTTAAGAGGGTGAGAAATGTAAGGAGGCATCTGGGTGTATGGATGAAACATGGCAGGGTGTCTAAGGATGCATATGCTAATATTGTTGAAAAGGTTCAAAATAAGTTGAATGGTTGGCAATCAAAGTGCCTTTCTCAAGCGGGTAGGATCACCCTTGCCCAATCTGTTCTTCAAGCTATTCCCTTCTTCCAAATGCATTGTGATAAAATCCCTAGATCAATCTATCATGCAATTGAAAAGTTGCAAAGAGGATTCATATGGGGAGACACAGAGGAGAGGAGAAAGATGCATCTTGTGAGCTGGGAGACTATTACAAAGCCGAAAGCTGCTGGAGGTTTGGGCTTTAAACAGTTAGTAGCCATGAATGATGCTTTTGTAGGGAAGCTTGCTTGGGAGATTTTTACTCATCCAGATAAATTTTGGGTTCAAGTTATTAGGAATAAGTATAAGAGCCAGAATCGAGGAAGTTCCTTGTTTAGCTGCAAAAATGGTGATTCTAGATTGTGGAATTACATATGCTCAATCTGGAAGAATTTGGAAAATCACCTTAAATGGGAGATTGGGAATGGTACAGAGATTTCTTTTTGGAAAGATAAATGGACACATGATGGTCATAGGCTTATGGACCTGTCTACAGTTCCAATTCCATGAGAGGAAAGCAATAAGCTTGTTGATTATGTTGATGATCAAGGTAATTGGGATACTCATTCTCTCACTCGGTGGTTGCCTTCTCATATTGTGTTGTCAATTAAGAGCATATTACCTCCTAATGAGCAAGATGGAGAGGATTATTTGTGTTGGAGCTTAGACCATTCAGATCGGATTTCAGTAAAATCCATTTATCAAGCTCTTACAGGTAATAATTCTGAAACTCCTAGTAATACCGAAATCTGGAAAAAGGTTTGGAGTTGGGAGGGTCCTCAAGTAATCCGTTTATTTTTGTGGAAGGTCCTTCATAACAGACTGCCAACAAAAGCTAGGCTGAGTTCTTTTGAATTAGGCAAACCTTACTGTCCAATCTGTCATGGTGAGGCCGAAACATCATTACATTTGGTTAGGAACTGTGTGAAAATGAAAGTGCTTTGGGCTGAATTAGTTCCAATTGGTTTGCATAATTTTTTTTTTTTTCTGATGATCTTCATGGTTGGCTGGAAAAAAATTTATATTGTATGGACAAGTTTACAAATAATTTACCATGGTGTATGGTGTTTGGCACAACATGCTGGCTGGCTTGGAAATGGAGAAATGATTTAGTCTTGGGAAATTCTATTTCTTATCTTTTATATAAGAAGAATTCGGTTATTAGTACAGCTGAAGAGTACAAGTTGGCTTTTCGTTCTGCTTCCTGTAATAGATTAGTCAAGCCCAGAACTGAAATTTTCATTAGCTGGAAACCACCAGAAGAGAATTGGGTTGAGCTCAATACTGATGGAGCTGCTAGGAGAGCTCAAAACTTAGCAGCATGTGGTGGTATTGCTCGAAATCATGAGGGTCACTCGCTCAAAGGCTTCTCTTACAGGATTGGGAATTGCAATGCTCTCAATGCTGAATTGTGGGGTATTCTTAAAGGTTTGGAGATGTCTTGGGACGCAGGCTGGAAAAATTTAATTGTTGAATCTGATTCAACATCTGCAGTCACCATTCTCTCTAGAAGAGGTGCTGCAGCCCGTGAGTCCCACTTGGTGACTCGCATACAGGCTTGGTTCCAAAAGGATTGCATATTCAGCTTGTTCACACTTATAGAGAAGGAAATTATGTTGCTGACTGGCTGGCGAATTATCCTATGGACAATACTAATGCTCTTGATATGTCTAGCTTTGTTTTTCCCCCTTTGCAGATTCAATCTGTTTTTATTGCTGATTTAGCCTCTGTTTGTAGAGCTCGAACAGTGACTGTTTTGTAGTTTTGTGCTGGGTTTTTCCTCAGCATACCAAAAAAAATAAAAATAAAAATTACTTATACGAAATTCTTTTCTCTTTTGTATTATATTTTCGAATTGTTTTTTTTTAAAAAATATTTTGAAATATTCACTTTTTAAAAAAAGGATGTTGTTTTCAGGGCTATTTATGATAAATTTATTTAGAAGATAAAAAGTTTCATATGCCTGTATTATATTTTGGAATTGAAGAGCCACCAATTTCTCTTTTGGCTCATATTCTCAATATGAGCATGCAAAACAAAGTTTTCCAATGCCTAATTATATTGAATTAGGCTAGGCATTTATACAATAGGCACAAACAAAATTTAAAAAAGTAGAAGGATAAATTAATATTGATAATTAAAGCAAAAAATTCCTAAAAAAAAATTGCTTTGAAACTACGTTGCTGGGTTGCACTGGTATAACATCTGGCACACTTCGAACATCCTTTGAAGAATTAAAAGATGGTTTTATGAGGGTCAAAGTAGTATGATCCTTATCCAACTCATCACTCTCATCATCACGGTAAGCATATCTCTCAAGAACATATATAAATTACAGAATAGCAACAACAATGCGAAACAAATTATGTACAGAATATAAGGGAAAGCTTATCTTGCTCTTGCAGGAATTAAAGATAGAAAATAGAAGGACTTTAAAATAAAGGAGAAATTTTTACCGTGTTGAATTTTGAGATGGTACCCAAAGAGCACATATAACACACAGGAGAGAAAAAGACAGAACTTGCCAAAAGGCTGGGATGATCCACGTATTATGCCATTGCTCGTTGTATACTTTTTGTTTCTTTGTTGCAGCTTTTAGATCTTTCCAAAGAAGGCTAAAGAAAAATATTTAGTCATTTAAAAGTTAAGACATTTTATTATATCATCTCATTCATGATACTAGATTATAGAGAAAAATACTTGTAGAAGAAAAGCAGATATAGAAGAATGTCATACCTTTCTCTGAGGAAGTACAAAAGCACAAATCCCAGTGATTCCAAATCATCCTGTCAGCTTTGTTCTACAACAAAGCTACAAAGAATATATACATATATATATATATATCTATATATATATATATTACATGTTCATGTAATAGAACAACAACTTGAGAAGATGAAGAAGATAAACAGACAAATAAGAGAAGAAATATGTGCACAGAAGCTAATTACCAAATAACAAAACCGAATAACATATATCCTATTCATACACAAGATATTTGCATTTTTTACAAAATATTTTCATTTGTTTAACGATTATTTTATAGCAAAATAGTTTTTTTAAGCAGCATTAATATGGTTAACAATTACCCATGTAGAAAGTAATAGGATAATAAATGAGCTGCCTGCCACCAACAATTGTTCAAATATTTTCCTACCCTTTAAATTCAAAATTCAAATTCAAATTCAAATGTAGAAAATAGCGGGACATTAAATAAGTTTTCTGCCACCAACTATTATTCACATATTTTTCGATTTGATTTATTTGCAAATTCGAATTTAATATTTTTGTATTTTTACTTTTTTACTAAAAGAGGAAAGATTTTAAATGTTCTCTAGTGTGAACACAAACCTGAAATTGAAGGAGAGGGCGACACATCAGCAAACTTACATTCCCTTTTAATATATAGATGAGCATTGGCATCTCTCATTTTTATTAGGATTCCATTCATATCTCATTCATCTTAGTACTAAAGATTTCCCATTTTTATTCATCGAATTGACAACTCATTATTAGCATCAGCAATTACACAATAAATGACTTATTCCTAATAGGTATATTAATTATTGTTATTTTCATTGATTGTTAAAA